AATAAGAATAATGTTGAATTAGACGAAAAGATAGGTGATTTTGTAAAAGATGACGAGAAAACACACAGTGACTCGTTGGTGTCAGCCTACCCTTCATCGTCGTCGTCGTCACCGTCGTCATCATCATCGCCACCATCACTAACAAACCCACCATCTTCACACCCATCAATTATTGTTAAAACTTCGCCTGTAGCTAACATGAACAATACCAAATCAATTGAAAAAAAAATGACTAATAACGATATTCATGACGCCGAAGAAATCGAAAACTCGGAACCAAAAAATTCTTTAGAAGAACCTTTTGATTTTCCAAAAGGATTTGATGGAAAAGCAGTTCAAAGTTCGAGCAATGAAGATTATGACTCAATAGATGAATTAATCAAAGAGAAGAAAAGAAGATCAAGAAGACCAAAAGAAAATAACGAGACAAACTCAAATTCTGAAATAAGTGACGAAAGTAGCCAAGAAAGTCAAGACCCGTGGGATTTACAGGCAGCTTCTACTCCTCAACAAGATAGTGATGATGATGATGATGATAATGATGATTTAGAATTATCGGAAAAGGAGGAATTTTATGATGAAAGTTGGGAAGAATTTAACGAAAGCAATACTAACGTCGATAATAAAAATACCAAATCAACAACAAATCAACAAAAGCAACCATCTCAACAAGAAAATTTAAAATTAATTTCAAATTCCCCTGTCACATCGAGTAATCCCACCTTTAATACCCCTTTAAAACCACACAATTTAAACATTCAACAACAAAAAATATTAGGTTCAGATAGTAATTTTTCACAAGAATCTAATTATAATTTATCACCTAAATTACAAAATTTAAATATCACACAATCAATTGCCAACAAAGAGAGTAATGATTCACAATCTCTTCCGCAAAGCACTCATGGTACAAAACTACCTTCAAGACCTGAAATTTCAACGATGACAATAACAACCAAAGGTAATGGTTTTGAAGAATTATTTCCTTTGTCAGAAAAGGACATATCAGGTCATGAACATAATAGCGACCTTTCAGAATTTCAAGGAACACAATCAACAACACCACAAACAAATTCGAAATTTCTAAAAAATATACAAGATAATAATTTGACCCCCAAACCTAGTATTGAAACGTTAAATCAAACATTTGGCAGGAAGAGATCTTTAAACATCGACGCGATTTCAAAATCGTCGTATCAAGAAGGAAATTTTTCGCCACAATCAACACTTTACGATTTACATCATCATTCTCAACATAAAGTTTCGACTACTTATGGGCACGAGTCAATACGAAAAATTTCACAAAGCGAAGAAGGGTCACAGTCTGCCACCCAAAAGCAATTCCGAGACAAAGTGCAATCATCTTTACAACAAAACATCCCACTAGCACCCGAGTTAAATATTTTAAGTTATAACACTCAAATACATCAAAATTCACCGCAAGCGCGTCATAAAGATAAATCGCTTTCAGAAAATAAACAATGGGAATCAGATTTAAGACAAGATTTCAGTCCAACAGATATACAACAAACACAATTGCCGACATTTTCTAACTCCAGAACATTGCGTCGGCATACTTTATCCTCTGGTATAAATACTCATCGAATCCTTTCAAGTGCTCTGGATAACAACCATCAAAATCATGCAAATCCTTCTATGTCACAACGGCCAGAATTTTTACCATCTACACAACCAATAAACATTAGGCAAGAAATTATGTCACCAAAACAATCAGAAAACCAGAGACAAATAAATCTATCATCACCTCAACCAATACAAACAAATCAAAGACAAAAATCCTATCCGCAAACAGATTCATCAAAACTTGTTTACAGTTTATCATCGCAATCTTCAACACCCGTGCAAAGGTTTTTGTTGCCAGATACATTCAAAGAGTCCTCTTTTCCTGTTCAAATTCATCAAAGTTCATCAACGATTCATCATTCTAACAATTTAAGTTCACCACCACAACAAGAAATCTCGCAAACTGTCAAAGCTTCATTACCACAAATAACGTCAAGTCAACGACCTTTACCACAAAAACGTAAATCAAAGGGCGCACTTGATTTTATATTAAATGAAGGATCTGGATCGACTAATGACGATAATGGATCAAGTCAAAAAAGAGGAAAATTTGATTATTTTGGGAACAAATAAGTTTTTCGATTTTTTTCTGATGTTTTTTTCTTCTGTTAATATGTAAGATAAAAAGGTAAGCTTCAAATCTATAAAAAATTAAAATTTTATATAATAATTATAAACAATAAAAAATTGTAATTTAAAATAACATAATAATATCACATGATTAAGATATATTTCTGTAGATAATTTTTTTTTTTATTTATTTGTATAAAATAATTTTTTTTATGTTAACAAAATAAAAAATTTTGCCTATATTGAAATATTATAATAAATTATTATTCTATTTATCATTAGCTTCATATATATTCTAGTACTGTTTTTTTTTAGGATTAAAATTCTTTGACTATGACGTTTGATCTGGTTGACATAATTGATATGGTACATGGATTATCTATCTTTCCTTTAAATATTTACGTCAAAGAATTATTATCGTTCCAAATAAGCCAAAAACCCTTTAAAGTACTTGTAATACTTGTAATAAATCACGAGGAAAAATCGAACGCGTGGTGTAATGATGCTAAAAAAACCTAATTTCATATGTCAACATTTAAATAATTTCACAATCATTAATTTTATCTTAATTATCGGCAAAAAATTTTTTTTTCATTTTCAAGTTAAACAAATCATAAAACGAGTCTAATCTTTTTTTCTTAACATTAATTAATTACATATAAATAAATCGATCAAAGATATTTTTTTTTTACAATATATTTTTTATTTTTTTATTATTTTTTTTATTTTCGGTATGATAATATAGAAATAACAATGATTAGAAATAATTCCTTAACAAGATTTCAAATGAAACTTATTTCATGGCTTTGCACCACTGCACCGATAATTTCTTTAATATACTATCTCTTTTATTTAGCTAACAAAAAGTCATTGTTGGTTGGAATTTTTCCTTTTAATAATTTTATCGAATCTTCTTCTTCAAGCTTCTTACACTATTGGTTAGGTTTTGAGCTTTTGTTTTATTTTTATTTTTTACTAACAAAAAGTCGATTACAAAAACTATTGGAACCTGTAACTTTAAGAAAAGATCAACGCAACAAAATTTTACACGAGTGTTTACAAGAAGTTGAAGACTTCAAAACTTGGATTGAAGGTTGGTTTAAAGTTGATGATAGAAAAACCACCTTTGATCAAATTCACAGGTTAAACTTTGCAGAATGGTATTTATTTACTTTACATTTTATTTTATATTTCATCTTATCCATGCTCTTTTTTCTAATGTTTATTCTTTTTGTTATTATTATTTTTTTTTAGGTTAACATGGAGTTTTTTTGGATGTGGCTTTGATCAGATACAAAATAAAGAACATGAAAATGAAATCATAGACATTATCAGTTTAATTGAGATCAGTAATAATATCAAATTTCCTGAAGGTTATAATCCAAATTGTAAATGCATCAAATTAACTCTCGATCCTGTTAAAGCAATTCCTAGACCTTTTATTTACTATATGGTATGTGTTGAAACTCGTGTATATACATATATACGCACATATTTCTAAAAACTTATTGATTTTTTTCTTTCCTCTTTATTTATTTTAGTCAATTTATATATTAAATTATATGGTAAGGGTTTTTTTAGGATTGTGCGGATTTGAACATAAAAGTTGTAAAGAAAGTATCTTGAATGGTTATTGGTCAAGCACACTAGAATTTGACATTCAAGAAGAAAACTCTCTTTCATCACTGTCTAAAATTAGTTATTGGTATTTCAATCCAAGTAACAAAAAAAGAAAAAAGAAAACTCCAATTGTTTTCATACATGGCGTTGGAGGATTGTTCTGTTATTTCACATTTATCAAAAAGTTACGGAAATTAAATAGACCTTTATTTCTAGTTGAATTGCCTTATGTGTCATTCCAAATGGTCGAAGATGTTCCAAAAATGCATGAAACTGTAGAAGAGATTGAAAGAATGATAATTTCTAAAGGTTATTCTTCTGCAATATTTGTGGGTCATTCTTTGGGCACAAGTATTTGTTCTTGGATGATTAAGGAAGCACCAAAAAGAGTTAAAGGTTTGGTATTGGTTGATCCAATTTGCTTCCTATTGCATCATTCTGATATTGCATTCAATTTTGTATATCGAAAACCTGTTACTGCAAGTGAGGTTTGTATTTAAAATTAATTTGCGCATATTATATATATATATATAAAATTGAATTTAATTTTTAATAATTCTGTTTAATAGTATTTAACTGCGCTTTTTGCATCAAGGGAATTGTACATATCACATTATTTCTCGAGACATTTTCATTGGCACGAAACTGCATTATTCATCTCAAAGCAAAAAATATTTCGCAAAAATGCATTCATTTATTTATCAGAACTAGACAATATTATTCCTTCCGATAAAGTTTACAAATATTTAAATAATAAAAAAGTAACTGTAAATATGATGTCTGGATTAGATCATGCAAATTTCTTGTTTAACCCATATTGGGTTGATAAGATTATTGATGATATTTTATATTGCTGCGATAATTGTGATTCGGCAAGAAGAAGTTTTTAATTAAATAAATTTGTGATGGGCGGGAGATTTTATATATACTTTGTATTATAATAATAATAATAATAATAATAACAATAATTTTAATTTTAAGAAAGAATAAAACCCATTTTTGTAAATTTTTCAGCCAAGTTAGAAACTTTTAATAGTATTTAGCTTTATATATAACTTTTTTTTTCTAAAAGGAAAAATGTAAATAGTAACTTCGTAACGATTAAAGATGACCAAAAATTGACTTACTTGTCTCGAGAACCTTGTTTTCAATTGTCATGAGTGTTATGTGAAGCATTTTTAAATCAAAAGTTGCTTTTTTATGTTGTCATTTTTCTATACACTCCATTAAGTCACCTATATGATCTTACTAATACAATAGAATTAGTATTAGTAATGATCTGATAGCATTTACATACACACACACATATATAGAAAAATGTATGATAATATTAATAATGAATGATTAATGATATCATCTTTTATTGCAATACTTTTATGACATAAAAAGAACTGATAAACGATCTAAACAAACTGATTGGAGACGAGACTCGAAAAAAAAAATAAATCATTAAATATGGATACTCACAAGACTTGCGCCTGCATATACCTATGACCAGCCAGCAATTATTACAGTTTTTCCTGTTGATAATAAATATAATACAACAAATAAAATTTGTTATATGTTGTATATACATCAAATGCATTTTGTTTAAAACCACAAATTTTACTATCGATCACTGATAAAATATTCTTTTAACGATGTTTATTGGTAAATAGTATTCATCTACAGATAATACAATTTTATTTTTATTTTCTGAACAATCCAATATGACAATATCTTTACCATCTCCCGTCAATGGCATCAGTGATGATTTTTAATGTTATATGAACAATTTTTTTTTACAAGTTCGAAATTCAAAGTTTGATTATATAATAATGTTACACCCGACAATCACTGATTTACATAGTCAAGTTGTGTTTTAAAGATTTTTGACCAGAAAGGAAATTTACTTGCCTTTAAGTAAGATCTTTGGGGTAAAATTTACGAATGATAAAAAAATTATAATGATAATCTTACATTACAAATGTACTACGGTTACAGATAATAAAATAATTAAAATTCTCGTAACGGATTTTAATATAATTAATATATAATTACAGCAAAACATTTAAATAATAGAATTTAAAAAAAACAACACCCCCCTTATTTTTAACAAATAAATGGGTTTCCAAATTTGGAATTTCTAAATACCGTAATGATTGGCGATCTTTGTATATATATTAATTAAATATATATATACAATATTTATCGATGTATGAAATTAAATTAAATTGGAATATTGGAATTAGATTATTTCCTGTGATGCCTAAAGAAAATTGTATGAAATTCAGGAGCGTGTAACACAAATCAGATACCTAGGGTTGCATTAATGAATGGTCCAGTCCAAAGACCACTCAGTCTAATCAAAGGACTAGACTACAATTTGTTCGTCCTGAACCGAGTCAAGAACATCTTTTCTATACATTCTACTAAAACTAAAACTAAAGAAAAATACAAGAGAGAAATCTAACTATATTTATAATAAATCAAAGTACTATCATTTAGGATCCAGTTCCATTGAATCAGGATGATTTGCTTCTTTGATAATTAATTAAATATTTTAGAGAAAGGTCTCTTTTCTAAAGAAAATTTCCAATAACTATAATAATTTCTAATTAAAGTTATTAATTAAAGAATCAAGAACTAATAACATGATTTCCTCTTGTTATTTATAATTTTCAAATTATATAATTTTTCTTTAATTTCCTGACATGCCTGTTAAATACATCATTTGCATTATACATGTTGTCAAAATTAATTTGGCTTCCTAAAATCTCATTATTTATATGTTTTCATATGATTTAATTTAATTGCGTCAAAAAGTCACCTGATTGAGTCAAAGTGATCTACCACATGTAATAATTTGCATCATGTTTAAGGTTGCTTGCCAAAATCTGTTTAGCCTGATGCTGAAAGATAAAAAACTTCCTACGTAGTGTTGAATAAAGATGGGAACTGAAATTAGCCGCAATTCAATTTTCATATGCTTGCAACTTTCAATTTTTTATATGCCACAATTAGTTGCAACTAGTCACAATTAATTGAGAGCCATCTTTAATGTTGAAAGTTTATTTGAATAAAATGAATAATTCAAATTAAGTTGTATTATGAATAATTTGAATAAGAATTTGTATTGCAAATAGAAACTCTAGATTAAATAATCAATATTTGAATATTAATATTGTAAGGCTCCGAACGAATCAAACCAATTAATTTGAATCAAATTCGAATTCGAATCAAATCAAATCAAATCACCTAATTTTTGATTCAATTATACTCTGATTTGATTTGATTTGATTCGAACTGATTCGAATATATAATTTGATTCAAAAAGAAAATTGCCTGTAACCTTTGTTTAATTGTAAATTGGATTACTTTTTTTATTCGTCATTACGTTATCATTATTGTTATCAAAAATAATAATAATAGTCATGGTGGCCGAAACTACCTTACTTTAGTGGACCAAAATTGCCGAAATTAATTGGCCTTAAACTTTTGACAAAACTAATTTTAATAGCTGAAATTGGGCGAAATTATTTTTAAATTTTTCAAAATAAAGTAGATTGATTTTAGATACTTATTATATGCATTAGGCGAAACTATCTTTTTTTCAAAATAGTTTCCACCGCTAAATAATATCTAAAAATTTTAAATTTAACAATATACACAATCTTGATTTTGGGTAATTAGAAATTTATTCCAAAATTCCGTTGTTATTATATTAACACAGTCAAACGGACTATAATTAAATTCTTGTCATAACGGATTTTTAAAATTTTTTTACTTCACAAATAAAAACATTTTTTATGTGTCCCGTCTATCTGCTATGACCTATATCAAGAAATCAGTTATTTTGAGAAGAATTTTATTATTATTATTATTATTATTATTATTATTAAACCTCAATCCATTAATATCCATTAAATCGAGGTACACTACATTGAGATTCACTGTATTTAATATGACATCAAAAAAAAATATTCAGGAATCCGGTTTGATTCAAATTGATTCGAATCGAGTCACGAATCGAATTGAATCAAATAAAATTCAGTTTTTTTGAATTCGAATTGACTACAGAACGAATCAAATCAAATCGAATCACTCTAAAATTCAATTCAATTCAATTCATTCGGAGCCTTATTTAGTTGTAGCTAGTTAGCTAAAATAGTTAATTTCCAACCTCTAGGTTAAACTATGACAAAACTATATTGACATCTTACTAGCGGTTATAACTAAGGGTGCAACCAACATATGAACACCTAAGGGCTACGACAACTAATACGGCATATGGCATAATATCACCAAGTAAGGTTACAGCCAAACCTTGTCACAGTGGATGAACGGGACACACAAGAAAATTTATTTAAAATCTGTTATGGCGAGATTACTAATCTTTCCACAATGGATTTTAATATGTTTTTATATTAATATGCGAAACAAAAATTTTTTATGACAAAAATTTAATTACCGTAAAGTCTGGAAAGATACAGTGCGGATCATCTATACTCAAAAGTTAAAATTTTTGAAATATTATGTGATTCACACATCGGATTTTAAAAAACCCACCAACATTCAATTCGGCTTTAAAAGGAAGTCTATCAATCTAAAAATTTTTTAAATTTGAAAGTCATGCTCAGAAATACAACAATTAAAGGTGCAGACATATTGTCGAACTATAACTCATAGTTATGACACAGCTATTACTATGTTGTAACTATGTCGTAACTCTTGGAAGAGTTTCCGTATGCCGTAACTGTTTATCTTGAGTGGTGTTAACCCGAATCAGGTAATCAAAAAGTAATCTAGGTACAGTCAAACACTATACTGTAAAGTCTGGAAAGATAGCACCCGTGACAAATAGCAATTTTCTATGAAATTGTGACGATTAATACAATAAATTGTGCGTGACAAACCATAAAATTACTAAAAAAAAGAAATATCACGGGACGCCATTTTTACGTTAATCCATAAAATTTTTGTTTCGCATATAAAAACATTAAAATCCGTTGTGGAAAGATTAGTAATCTCGCCACAACAGATTTTAAATAAAATTTCTAATTCATCCACTGTGACAAGGTTTGGCTGTAACCTTACTTGGTGATAATATGGCATGGTGGCATACGGCACTTGCCATATGTCATATGCCATATGCTGTCGTAACCCTCAAGTGTTCATATGTTTGCGCCCTTATTTGTAACGATCAATTTTTGAAAATTCCAAAGAGTGATAGTATTATCGGACGATTCTTTCCAAATTGTTACAAAGTATGTTGCACTAACTTAATTGAGTTGTATTCTTTCGTTAATTAAGTAACAATGTCAATTATCGTTTATGGTATAGTAAACTAGGAATTTTATCAATTTTGTAATACAGGATAATATCACTGCATTATCTTTAGCTTTAACCTTTGTGATATGGCAAATGAAACCGAGGTTCAGGGGATCCAACCATTTTAAAGGCTAACAAGTAATTATTTATAAACAGCAGTTCAATTTCATTAATTTATTGTTCCTTGGAAAATTTTTATGATTCCTTATCACCTATTAAATGTACAATAGAAAACAATGGCTTCACTATTTTACAGGTTTGGGATTCTGATGTCTCAACTATCAAGATCATATCTCAAATTCTAAGAACGGTTCAACCCACATTTGTTCTGATTATGAAGATATTATTACTAGCAAATTCGACTTCAAACATTCTAGTTGGAAGGACTTTAAAGATGAATATCAAGGTGTATCTAAAGGAATGTTTTCTTCTCGTACCGATGGAACCTTTCTTGATGGAATGTTCCTGGTTCAAAACGCGATGATCAAAATAGGTTCCCCTAAAATGATTTTACTCCAACCCATTGAATATAATGCTGTAGGAGGAAAAATCATACTTGTTGATGGCAAGAAAGTATTGGAATCTGTTTTGATGGAGAGACCAAAATTAGCCGAGATTTCAATGAAGCATGGGTGTATATCCTTTTGCAAAGACGATCAAATCTCTATTAATTGTTGTGTTTACAATAATATGCCAGATGATAGTATTCACGTACTCTTTCGATATGATTCAACTACATTTGTGCCAGATTGGTCTTGCAAAGCGATAAAATTACTCTACAACAATTATCACATGAACCCGAAATTCCAACTTAAAATTACCCTTAAGAAAAAGTCACAAATCTCGATAATGGATAATCGTCAGCTCTTGCATGGCCATAATGAATTTGCTGGAAATCATAAATTATGCCGGGTCTCCTCAGAGCTATGCTACGCCAAGCCTGGCCAGCAAAAAAATTTATCAAACAGATTTAACTTTTAAAAATGACGGAAATGTGAATGTTTATATCACCTTGGACATTGTCATCAATGTGGCTGGTGCAAAGAAAGGATTTGAATCAATGATAAAATAAAATGTCAAATCACATTTGCATTTCCGTTTGCCTTCTGATTTGTCCTTTCTTTTTGTTTTTTATTTCTTTGAAGTTCGTATTCCCGAGGTTGATGTCCTGCTTGTTTTATAAAATTTTGCCTGTACGTTTGTTCCTAATAACTGTCTTCATTTCTGCTTACTTTTGCAATTTTCATCAGGAAATTTGTTACGTGCAATGAGGATATATAATTGTAAATTACATAATATGTTGAATATAACAAATTATATGAAATATGATTCAGCAATCTTTCATAAAATGCATGAGCCAATTTACCGTCAAAAAATAAACCAACCATTTTCATACAACAACTAATAAATCTCGGAATAAAATATAATGCCATTTTTGGGCTTGTGAACTATTGTTCTACAATACATACCACAGTACAAGATTTTAGATGTTTATTAGACTTTAATGGAAATACAATCTCTGGCCCTATAGAAAATAAATATGTAAGGAATAAATTTTTAAATACAGAACAAATGTACTCAATGTAAGATTTGAAATTTATCAAATTTTAAATACATTCGTAAACGTATCGAATTCCTTCATGATGTATGTTATTATTCTGGTGAAAGAAAACTCTATAAAACGTAAGTTTTAATTCTTTACATGCATGATGTATGTATTATTCTGGTAAAAGAAACTCTATAAAATGTGGGTTTTAATTCCTTACATGAAGTACGTTATTATCTTGATGAAATTAAGATTTACGATTTATTTTCATTAAATATTGATTTCATAGTTTGTATAATTAAAGTCATGTTTCCAATTTAAAGAAATTATTAATAATAAACCATAAATTATATCTTTTTTATTTAATACTATTTAAATGGTTTTACTATAAAAGACAACTTTTCTTGCTAAATAAATACTGAATTATCAGAAAATAATTTGTAGAAGATTTTCTGATATATTCTTATGTATGTGTGTATTCCTTTTAGTGTGATAATTGCTATTCCGAGTTATTTTTATATTCTTTAAAATTTTGATTTGGCAGTTAATCATTTAAATTTTAATGGTGTTATCTGACCCTTTTTAAAATAAAATTTTCTTTAGAATGTCTTCTAATGAAATCGATGAGCTTTTAGCTCTTTTGGAAGGAGAAAAAACCCCATTAACAACGACAAGAGATATTTAGTTTATTTATGATAATATATAATTATAATTATTTTTTTGAATTAAGTTAAAAGTAAAGATAACAATAGCAATAATAGTTGTAATGAAATGATAGTGGTGGTAGATATGATAATTATGAAGTAATAATAACACCATTAGCAATCATAGAACTAGAAATAATAATAACGATGATGATGATAATGGTGATGATAACAACATCAGCAATAATAATAATGATATGGTGCAGGTCATCTAAAGGCATCAAAAAAAATCGTGCAACTTCAAACCACTAAGGCTTTTTTTTTAATTAATAAAATTGAAAAATCTCTATTTTTGCAACCTTTAAAACCTAAGCAACAATGAAATAGAGTGTTTTTTCAATTTTATTAATAAAAAAAAAAGCCTTTGTGATTTGAAGTTACACGATTTTACACTATACATCAAAAATGAAATTTGGCACGAGACGTTCTTTCCTATTTAGTAAAAGATCTTCTAAACACATGACCAGAACAAATTATAAAATTCAGTTCAGAGAACCATCGCCATACTTTTTTGTATGCAATCAACAAACAATACATTACTAACAAATTTACATTCTTCCAATTAAAAAAAATTCCAAGACGAAATAAGCAAACTGCACATTTGGGAAAAGCTAGATAACGAATTGAATAAAAATTTAGAATATTCATCAAATGAGGACTCAGAAAATTGATTATACGAATTATTTGGATCATTCTTTCTGTTAGTTTATTCGAATTATTCATTTTACTCGAACTATTCGTTTTGTTTGTTTGTTCTATTATCCGATTATTCGAATGATTCGGTTTATTCGTTTTATTCGTTTGTGATTTTATAATCCCGTGACACTAAAGAATATCATTGCATTTTGGGATTGGAAGATTTGTGACGCAGCATTTGATGTCTTTAGATGGCGCGCACTATATAGTTTGAGATTTCCAAATATTCTGATAATCAATCTTTTGATGTACTTAAAGCCATTACGTATTAATCTGTGGAAGGTTATCTCGTTCAGGTCAATCCATCGGCCGATGGTTAGATTGAGTGCTTTTTCTTGATCAAACATTTTAGATTGTGATATATGTGGGTACAATTACATACAATATTTTAGGATCTGAACTATTTTTATTGCCTATTGTAGGGGCGCAAAAACTGCCACTCTTCAAAAAGGTTTAGACAAATCTAATGGAATAGCATATCATTATCCTCAAATATGCACCGAGTTTTTTCCAACCCTCATAAACGTCAAGTAACACATATTTTCAAGGCAGTAAAATGAATTTATTACCACTTGCTCCTATATTATGCAACACTGTCAATTTTTTTCCAAATGGAATAATTTAAAAATTACATTGTTATAATAAGATATCCGTTCATTCAAAACATTTGCCATTATAACATTATAGTTATACCGCAGAACTATAAAATATTTTTTCAACGGGTAAAGTTATGTTGTTGATGTTTATAAATGGGTGAGTTATTATAACAAAAAAAAAATTTTTTAATGAAAAAGAAATGTCTAATTACTCTACATCACTTTGGTAGTATGTAGAATAAAGGTAGGGAATAAAAATATATAAGGTTATAAAGATCTATTTTCAAATTACAATAGAATTGCCACTTTATTCATTCTATTTATATTTTTTAAGAGAAAAAAATAAGTCAACTTTTCTTCTAAGCCCTATTTTTCAGTCCCAAATATTAATACACCCTCTCTAAATGCACACTTTCACCCGGTCTCAAGGGCAATGAATAAAATAATTTTTAATGATTGGTAAATTGAAAGTTATATATTTTTTTGATTAATAAATAATTTTAATACATGATTTTTTTTATAGGAAAATTTTTATTCTGGAAAACCTTCCCAATGAATATATATATCATTTAAATAATGTTGTGAAGTTTTAAGTCCAAAAGGATCAAATGGGAAAAAAGTAGACACTTCCCATAAACTTTCCTCCTCCTCATCATCATCACGATGAGTTCCACAATCAGTACTACACTGTAAAAACTTCACTTTATTTGCTATATAGATAAACACTTCTACAATAGATCGTGTACACATCTATTTAAAAAATATATATAATTTATAAACACATATATAAGAGAGAAGAAAAAATATAACGCAAGTAACGAAAAATAAATAATAATCAAAATAACAAACCTCCAAAGGTTTGAACTTGGAATTTAGAATGGTTTTGACCCAATCTGATTCTTTACACCATCCATTTTTATTTGTGAGATCTTTCCATCTATAACAAAAGACGTAGATTATAGCTGTCAATACTGAATAGAAATGTTTATTTTGTTTGGCTTGTTTGTATGCAATTGATATTTTATATTTGCTTATGTATCCTTCAACCCAATTGCCTATAATGTGAAACATTTGATGTAACTCTTGTTTTCCAAGAAATTTAGCTCGTGCAGCAAATGATGCAAGATATTGAGTCGCAGCCAATTTAATAATTTCTGATTCTTGCTCCCCAAGTGCTTTTCGTAATATTAGTGTTATAAAGCGCCTCGAAAATGAACCGTCAAGTGAGATGTACCAGAAAATTATGAATTGAACATATCGCGATTTACAAGTGCATAAGATTTGTTTTTCAAAAATATTCATCAAAATCTTATAAATCTCTTCTTGTCCTTTCTTTGTACTATTTTTGTAACACCAACTCAAATAATCAAACAACAACTTCATCATGCAATCCAATTTTTCTAATAAATCTTTAATGTCAAGTATTGTGACCATTTGTGAAGTCCCGTCCATATCATCATCGTCAGCATCATCATCATAGTCTGTTAACATATTAAAATTATTGTAATTGTCATCATTATCTTGTTGTGTGGACAACGATACATTAGTTTGAATTGTTGATAATTTTTGATATGTTTCTGAATTTAAAGAATCTGGATTATTTCCATCACCATAAAGTGATATATTATACTCTGGAATTGAATCTTCTAAATCTTTTATATCTTTAAGCTTTCCTTGTACCTCTGTCTATAATTTTTAAATAATATATATGTATATATATTTTAAACATTTATGCGATTTTAAATTTTTTAAAAAAAATTTTTTTACATACATCAATTTGAATCAAACGGCTAAATATTAATTGTAACACATCAAATTGTAGTTCATTTATGTAATCCAAAAGTTGTAATAAATTTTTAAGATAAGTCACTTGAACATACAAAGGCTCTGTTTTGTGCGGAAATTCTTGGACTACCAATTTGTAAAGTTCATCAACCGAATTTGGAATTATTTTTATAATACTTTTCACAGCTGTATGAACTCTTCCGTTTATTTTTTCAAGATGATTTGGTATTCTTCCTGTCTCGTCAGGTCCTATATATGAATAATATTAAAGATCGAAATAATATCCCATTGTTTAGTATAAATTTTCTACTACTAAAACCAACACAAAAATAATAATAATGATTACATACTGAAGGCAAATTTTTGTACCAACATTTGTAATATGCGACTTTTATAAAGAGAAGGGTGTGATGAAATCAAACTTGATAAAAACATTATGTATGCTAATGCAAGATTATTATCATGTTCTGCCCAATTCAGATTGAAAATCACATCAATCAAATCCACACAACATTCATCTAAATGGAAGGCATTGTGAGCAAATGCCATAATCCAAACACGTAATTTTTTTATATCTACTATGCCCTTTGAGTATTGATTCAAACTTCTAACAAGTTGTTCATAATTGGCACTGTTTCCCTTTTTTTAGGAAAAAAAAGAAAAAATCAATATTTGATTAAAACCATTTTTAAAGGTTGTCTAAAAAATAATCTATTACTTCTTTCATTTCAGATACTGCAGATCGAATGACCGTTATCATTAGAGAATATTCACATTTCATTTCGGCAGGTCCATAAACTTTTGAATTTTCTTGTGGCATACTTTTTTTTGTTGAAGTGGAGCTGCCATTTCCTATTTATATTTATATTTATATAATATGAGTTTTTTTTCTTAATTATTATTCAATAAATAAACCATTATACCCACTAGAAGTTGTATTTTTCATTGTTTTTTTTTTTTTTTTTAAAAAAAAGATTAAAAAAAAAATTTTTTTCTTGTGTAAAAAAAAAAAAATCTGAAAATCATCCCCAAATTAAATCCAAAAAAAATTTAAATGCATAAAAAAAATCGGCCAAGTCAAAATCCAATTTAGTATAATCCAGTGTTGGGAATTTCCGGTTCCAGTGGGGAAAATCACTGGACCTAGAACACTGGAACAGTTTGGAAATATCACTGGAACACTGGAACTGCTGGAACTGCTGGAACTGCTAGAACCAATGAAGAATTTGTGTAAATTTTATTTTTAATACTGATATTTACATGTAATAATGAAATAAATATGGATAATGTCACTGCCACCATATAGTTCTTTTTTCTTTTGGATCAGACTTTATGACAAAGCTTGAATGATGTCAATTTTTCACAATAATTATCTTTTTTTTGTACATGGCTCCATGTGATGAGATCATATGACCATTTTGTAGATGTTCACCTTGTGACTTTGCTTACAAGTTCCACAATTAATTATAATGCAAAAGATTTTTTTTAAAAAATGAGTAGTAGACACACAGGTGGAAAACTTTTGGATGTTTTGCAAATATGTTGTAACAAAAAAGAGAGATAATGGTTAAAAGTAATTGCTTAGCTATCTGCAAAGCCTGCATACAAATAAAAGAGTGGGAATGGTCATATAATGTTACAAAATTAAAATTTTCTAACACTATCCCATTTATTGGTAAACACTTAATTAATTGTGAAAACTTTGCAAACTATTAATCCAGATAAATTGGAATCAGTAAATTTACATTTAGAAATGAGACAAAAAAGAATTGAATCAAGATTAAATAATAGTATAGAAATTGAAGTTGATGCTGATGTTGATTGTATGTATTTTATATTATCATTGGATTAATTGCAATAATTAATAATATTTTATTATGTTTGTTTATGATCTTACAACAGAATTGGACAATAATTATGATAATTCATCTATTACATCTCCTCCATCTGAAAGTTCTAATTCATTGATATTTCACATATAAATCCAAATAAATGATATATATATAATGAATCAAGTTCTTCCATCAGTTCATCATCAAACAATGGAATTATTGGTTTGAAGCACTATATGATGAGACTTTTAATGATACTAGTGATGAAAGTGATTTGGATGATCCAGAAGAATTAAAAATTCAGTTAAAACATAGGGTGCATCCAGCTGCTAATAAGAGGCCAAATGGAAATTATTTAAACTTGGACCAGAGCTGAAGAGGCAGTAGAATAACAGCAGGTTCGCACTAATGCAAATTCAGAAAAGAGGTTACTATTGGAAGGGCAGCTGAGTAAGCCCAGTTTAAAGCTATAAAATGTGAATAGGGAGAAAATTGTGATGTAAACTGCAGTGCAGCCAGACAATCAAAATCCCAAATGAGTTCATATCATTAAAAATTTACAAAATAAATAAGGTTAGAATTAATTTAGTTTTTCATTAACAAATAAAAATAAAATCCATTGGTTCCATTAGTTCCAGTGATTAGTGGTTGTATCTGCCAAATGATATTCACTGATTATTTACTGATTGTCTGTTAATCGGGTATTGAAAATTTTTCATTGATTAATTAATTGGGTGTTGGAATTTTCATCAGATAATTGGTGAATAATCAGTGGTTCAGAAATATAAAAAATAAAAATTTTTATCCACATAATTGAAAGAATATATTAACATGATAATACTATTTTATCCACTATTACACTATTTAAAGAATATTTATGCATTGCAGTAACTTCTACTCCAAATGAGCGACCTTGTCACAGAGGACTATAATTAAGTTCTTGTCATAGCAGATTTTAAATTTTTGCTTCACATTCACATTAACATATAAAAACCCATTGTGGCAAGATCAGTAAATCTTGCCACAATGGGTTTTAAATAAATCTTCATTCATCTGCTGTGACAAGGTTTGACTGTATTTAATGAAGCTGGGAACACAATGACAGCTGAACAAATAAAATTGAATCTGTTTTTATTTGAAAAAATATACATATTCAGTAGATATTCAGTGGATATTCAGTGGATATTTGGCGGGTATTTGGTGAATGACTCATTATCTGGGTGTTGAGCTTTATTGGCTGGCTGATTATCCAGGTGTTGAGCTTTATTGATTGACCAAGTACTCAAACACCTGGATAATCAACAGATACAACCACTAACAGTGATCCATTGCTTGTTTCCAGTGACCCAGTTTTTACTGTGGTTCCAGTGTTCCATTGGTGTTCCAGAAAAAAGTCACTGGAACACTGGAACTGGAAAATTTGTTTCAGTGTTCCAGTTCCAGCAACTTTCCCAACACTGGTATAATCATCTCAACAAGAAAAAGAACTTGAAGCCAGATTGAGAGAAGAGTGGAATACAAATTCATTGGATATTTGATTGAAAACATCCTCAAAGAATTTAGGCTTGTGTCTCACATAAAGATGGCCAACAAGCAAAAAAATTCCAAGTCTTAAGACAAATAAGAAAAATCAAAATTTAAAGTAGTTCTTTTTTTATATTTAATAGAGTTCTAGACATATTAGAAATGTGAAATTATATATGGTTATTTATTTATTCATTCATCAGAGCCTAAGCTATTGAATGATGCAAGTTTTATATGGTGTATTTTTAATATGTACATTTTACATAACAAAAATATTTTTGACACAGTAGAAACAGAACTCAATATTTTGAAAAAATGTCTCTAATCATGCATGATAAAATTTTAGTCCCAATCTAGTTGGTATTCAAACATTGAAAAGTTAAAATATTGGAAATTAATATGTATAAGTATGGGGTCTTACAAAACAACTTTATTTGGTAAACAAAATTCACACATAAATCTAAGGGTGCAAACATATAAATATTACATATGACATATGACATATGGCAAGTGCTGAGTAGGTAACAATATATATATATTGTTACCTACTTATGTTAGACTGTTACCTACCTATGTGGCCTAATTTGATTTTTTGGCCCCCTTCGAAAGTGGCCAATTTTTGTTTTTTGGCCACCTTCGAGAGTGGCCATTTTTCATTTTTAGGCCGCATTTTTGTCTTATTTTAGTTCAATTTTTTATTTACACATCAGATAACGTCTACAGATGTTATAGACTGCTTAATTATCTAACTATCTTTTTTAGCCATTTTGTTGTCTTCAAAGCTTAAAAAGCTATGCAATCTAAAAAATCTAACCAAAATGCGGCCAATTTTTAATTTTTGGCCACCCAGATGGAATCATGAAATCGGCTACATTCGAGTGCGGCCATTTTTTATTTTTTGGCCGCCTAGATGGGATTGTGAAATTGGCTACATTCAAGTGCGGTGTATTTTGCGTTTTTGGCCGCATTTATGTTATCATTTAGGTATTAAATCGGATGTTAAATCTGATATTTAATCGGACGGTAAAAAAATATGTATTCATACCCCGCATTCAGGTTCCAATATGTAACAAACATGTCAATCATGAACCATGGTTTGCGATCAACTTTATGTAGCACTTTAGGAAAAGCAATCTCGAAGACGGGATATGACTCGATTTCGTCATCATAAAATAGACTATTTTGTGGTCAATGATGCATTGATCAGTATTCTGCATTTTTAGATTCCGCCATGTAGCATTCGTGTCCATCGTCAACATGTGTTGGTGATCATCTATAAGTATCACTCCAGGAAAGGTGTTAATGGCATTTTTTTCTTGTCATTGAAAAATCTTTGATGACATTTTTTTTTAAATCTTTTGTGTATCACTTTTCTGTATTGGTATATCAAAAAATTGGATAATGACAGGTAAGCATATAAATCCCGTACATAGTATTGTAATTAAAATATATATGATTAAGTGTGAGTTTAGTGGTGTTTTTTTAAAAATATTTTTGTCAGTAGTTGTCAGTAGTTGAATATGATCAACTACTGAGACCTTTCTTAGTCTAGTTGAGCTTCCTAGTCTTTTTCTCTTCTTTCTTGATTACTTTATTATAAGTGTCAGTAGTGTCAGTAGTAAAAAATCTATTTCTAGGAAAAAAAATGAAACTTTTCCTATATATGATATATATATATGGTATATATGTGGTATATGTACGTATACATAAAAAAAAATAAAAAAAAATGGAAATCGGATAAAAATACTACTGACACTACTGACACTACTGACACTTATCAAGAAGACTCGCTTTCGGGCTTGGAACTCCAGGAAAGGTGTCAGTGGTATTTTTTTTTACTGCTGACAACTGCTGACACTTAATTGAGTGTATTTATATGCCGGAATTTCCTCAACTATAATTTACCCCCTCCCCCCTTCCACTTCAGATGACTCCTGGGCGAGCTTTTCAGACTTTTTCCAATAGTATCCTGCCTTGCTTTGGTGTTTTTTAGCATGAGTATCACAAAAACCATAATCAGAATTAGTTAACTTGCTACACTCTCTGCAAGGAACACGTGGTGGAGAATCCCAATGAACTTTACAGCCTTCTGGGCGGTAACATCCCCGGTTACATTCCTTACCAGTTCTAAAAATATAGGAGCAATGGAAAAATGCCATATGTATACAATATGATAATTAAAATTTGTTTATTTATATTCTCTGGAATTAATTTTCATTTTGAATTATTTTATTGCGAATATTATACTGCCAGAATAAAGATGTCAATATATAGTGAAAATAGCGAAGCTAGCACAGCTAATTCTGTTTTTGAATCTGTTTCCAATTCTCAACCGCAAAATTCTGTTTCTGAATCTGTTTCCAATTCTGCCATTGAATCTTCTGAAACCTCTGAAGCCCCTGAATCCCCCTTCGAGGGCGTTAACAGCACCTTCTTTCACCATGGACACAACGCTGAGAGCGTTAAAGAATATAATTATAAAATTCGTGACGATAGTGTAAGACCAAGAGAATTTCTCGGAACAGATAATGAGGATGGAATAGAATCTATACTTGAAGATTGTAATGGACATTCCTTACATGAGTATATTGATGGAGATGATCCACTCCGTCTTTTTATCGATTTTGATTTACCTATTGAATGTCTCAATAAAATAGAACCTAAAATTACACCTATAGAGAGGCGAAATTTACTTTGCCGTACCTTTAAAGAAGTTTGCGTAGAGATATATCCAGATTGGGATAGAAACACTTTGACTATTGCCAGTAGTAGCGATTCGAAAAAAATATCACTACATATTTCGACTTTCGGTCTCCGACTCAAAAATATTTCCAAAGTTGCAAAATTTACTGAACTTGTACGAAAAAAAGCTTCCAATAGGTTTACAGAATAAGAATATTATCGATAACATTGCAAATAAAAAATCATTCTCTTTATGGATTCTTAGAACACCAAAATTCATTGAAGAAACTAAAGAACATGTACGAGTAAAGAAAGCTCTCTACCCAAAAGATGAATACGTTTTTAATTTTATGATTCATCCTCCTCATGATGATTCACCAATTGTGGATAGTCTGATTTTAGATGTTCCAGAAGAAAAGACAATGAAAACTAATGAAAGTGATTCCAGTGGTTTTGGAGCTGAATTGGAATACGTGAAAAAACTACTCAATTTACAAAATATTGATGGTTTTGAAGTTTTATATCCAGGGCCCACTCATCCAAATATATTTACTTTAAGACGTAAATCAGCTTCTAATTGTTTGTTATGTAAACGAGAACATAGTGATGATAATGCATATATAGTTTGAAATAAAAAAACTTATCGTTATCATTGTTATCGTGCAGATCAAGAAACTCCTTCAGGTGTAAAAAAACCATCATTAAAACTTGTAATTAATGAAACAGTTGAGGATCAAGAAAAAACTCTTCCAATACCAGAAAAAATAGAACAATCCAGAATTTCAGACCCAAATGATCATTTCATATGGGGTGATTTACTTTGTATATGTATGTCTAAGAAAAAGTTTATGTGTGATGAGGCATATAGTGCAATCCAAGCAACAATAGCATGTGTTGAGCAGAGAAAACTAACCTGGATAGTTAAACTTAAAAATTCTGATGGTCTTTATTTTGATATGGGACGTGAACTGGAACTAGCAAAGCATACAATTAATAGATAGAGCAGTTACGGAAAATTTAATACATTACGATGAAATTGATTTTCTCCCATACCCACCAAACGTAATTCCACCAAAAACAAATTTCTTTAATCTTTTCCTGGGATTTGCAGCTACACCAGCACCAGAAATTAATAAAGAATTTATGGATCCTATCCTTTGGCACATAAAAAATGTAATTTGTGATGAAAATAATGAACTTATCAAATATATCTGGAACTGGTGGGCATTCTTAGTGCAAAAACCAGAAAAAAAACCTTGTTCAATCTGTGTATTAAAGTCTACTCTTCAACAATGCGGAAAAAATATTATCATTGATTTTATTGGCGATAAAGTC